TATGCACAGGTAACCTAATATTCAGGCATTGGATTATTTGATATTAAAATCTTCCAAGATTTTTCTTTTCAAGACAGTTGACAATTTGAAACTATAGAGACCATTGGGGAAGTTTTTTATGGTCAATACTGGTTAACAACTTGCACTGTTAATCCATTACCTTCAGCTAAAAATACAAAAAACAATTTACATTTATATGGAGCCTTGTGTCCCCCAAGATTCCAAAGGGTTTTGCAAAAGAAACAGATCACATTGACCCCCTAAGACAATATCTGGTTGTCTCCCTGATCTAAAAGAAACAACCCTGTTCACTAACTGCATCACCAACGCCTCCTGCTGTGCCAGCTAGATCTTCCTGGGTTGGCCCTCAGGTGTTGTTCTAGGTGGAAAATTCTCTTAGGGACACATGTAACACACATTTGTTTGCTAAAGGAAAGGCTGCCCTCAGCTTGGATGGGCTTGGGAAAATCCCTGTGGATTTCTGGGCAAAACATGTTGTGTTAGAGAAGGAACAGGCTGGGGTATGAATGCTTATTTCCAATTAACTCAAACAGAGAAATAATGAGCAGTTAAGTTTATATTCTCAGCAAATTAAGAGAAGCTTAGGTAAAATGTGGCTTTATAGGCATGGAAACAAATTATTATTTACTCGCTTTAGTACTAATGCCCTCAAAAATGAAGGCATTTGTTTGGAATGATTAATATTCATAGCATATTACAATAAAAGCTTTGCCTGAATCCACACTATTTTACTGAGGTAAGATCTGTTGAAGGTCAAGGGGATCTTTTCTTGTGTGTGGAGGGCAGGATCAGACTCTTTACTTTGAAATCTGTATCAACTGTGATAATTTAAAACTTTAATTAAAGATTCAGTGACAGATTATCTACAAAATGTCTTCCTGCTGCCCAGTATTTCATCACGAACGCCTCCCGAAGCCCACACTAATGTGAGTAAGCACAGTTGCCAGGAAGTATTTCATTGTGGGCATGTTAGCTTTTTATCTGTCTTGTTGGGTAACAAATTCTTTTGTTGAGGATTGGTGGCAACAAAAAATAAAGTTAAAAGCAAAACCAGACCCCAAAACAGAAATTTATAATGCTTATTCTGTTAATCCCTCAAGGAAAGGAAAATGCCAAGGCAAAGCATATTTTAGCAATTGTGTTCATGTTTGTCTAAATGGGTGAAGGTGCCTTTCAAGTGCTCTGAGAAGAATTTCACATTTTAGAGAAGTTAACAATTCTATTGTGGCATTTGTTGGAATTTTAAAATTAATTTCTCTGACACAGCTGTGCCACAAAATCCCACCCCCCTCTGATGATGAATTTCTGCTCACTGTTGAGATTATTTTTTGGATACAATTCTAAAGGAGCACTTTGTAAAATCAGGAGAAAACAGGTTCTCCAGGAACCCCGTGCTGCCCTTTCCATGCCTCCACTCACCTCCAGCCTTTCCCTGAGCAGCTGCAAGGCTGCTAGTTTGAAATGACATCTGTTTTTAATTCCATGGAGCAGTAAACTGTGGATGGACACACAAATGGCATGAAGCTGAGCCCCCTTAGAGCTAATATCAGCATGTTGCCAACTCAGCATGGCATTGGAGGAAGGACCTCGCATCTACTCACACCCCATCAAAAGGTTGAAGGAAACTTAAAAGAGCAACCTTGCAGTGATGTATAAGGAAAGACTTTAAAAAACACATGTTCCACCAATAGTGAGGCTCAGCCTGCAGCAGTGGATGGATTAATGGGGAGGGAGAAGCAGATGTTTTGAAATGGTCAGGCAAGAAGACCTGTGGGGGTAAGAGCAGTGCTACACAGGCATGCCCACAGCCTTGGACACAGGAAGATGGGGGGTCCTCGTGGGGGATTTTTTGCTTTGGAAAGGCTTTGGCATAAGCAGAGTCGGTGGATGTACTTGCAGCCTGAAGCAGTGGATGGATTAATGGGGAGGGAGAAGCAGATGTTTTGAAATGGTCAGGCAAGAAGACCTGTGGGGGTAAGAGCAGTGCTACACAGGCATGCCCACAGCCTTGAACACAGGAAGATGGGGGGTCCTCGTGGGGGATTTTTGCTTGGAAAGGCTTTGGCATAAGCAGAGTCGGTGGATGTACTTGCACTGCAGGAGAAGCAGGGGTCAGGGGGGAGTGCACAGATGGTGGCAGCCATGAATTTATCAGCAGTAGGTGAGTTTTGGATCCCACAGAGGAGAGGGCTCACAATAGCTGACACACTTTTTTTTCTGGAGAAGCCAAAATGATGAGAAATAACAACTCGGGGCCATAACTCTGCAGACTGTTGCTACCATGAAACATAAAAATCTAGTGACCTTTCATCTCCACGACAGAAACACTGAGCAGTACCTTGAGCCATCACCCTCACCCTCCTCTCTGACAAACTGGACACTGCGACATGAAGGAAAAGGTGAACTCTCTCACCCTCACCCCCAAGTTTTAGCCTCCCAGTGAACTTGCCTGCTCCACATGCAGTGTGGTACCCTGTGCTGAGCAGAGCCAGTTTTGCACAGGCTCCACTGCGTTTAGTGAAGCACAAGGTAACAATTCTGTTTCTTTTGACAGTAAGGAATAAATCTCCAAAGCCACTTGCTCAGACTGCTCTCAAATGATGGTAGAGGGAGAGAAATTGATATTGGCTTTTTATGAATCATCAGCCCAGGTATGTTGGAATCAACAGATTTTTGCATCAGTCTTGCTGCTTCACAACACTTCTGCCCTTGGCAAGGCAAAATTAGAAAAGGCATGAAAATCTATCTGAATGTATTCAGAGGAAATTATTCTCCTGTTAATGGCAGCAACAACCAAACAAGCAGGCAAGCCACGTTGCTAGCAGAGTGCAGCAAATGATGCAGGGATGGATTTTAACCCAAACCAAGGATTTTCCTTATCAAAATTTTAAGAGCAACTTTTGAAAGGAGGATTTGCACTACATATTGTTCTGGGGGTTATCTTTTTTTATTTCCCCAACAGCTGTATCCCTTGAGCTTGTCTATATGTCTAAAATGATGACGACAGGGACTGAGACCAAGCTAAAATCTTTTCATCATGCTGAGACATGGTGCTGTAACTGTCTGCACCACTTTGGCAGAAAACAAAGACTACTGGATGGAAGGAAAAAACTAAATACATTTTAAAAAGGGGGATTTTGGTCATTTAAGTGGGTCTGTCAGCTTGTGTTATCTTCATACATTTGTGAAACTGAGCTTTAATTGAGTGGCTGCAGTGGAGAGCTGAAAGATAAAATCTTGGTCTCAGGATGAACAGACAGATCCTCATTCATTAGGATGTGTCAGAGGGACTAGGAGAGGGACACAGGGATGCCTGTTACTCTTTCACAGGATTCCATAATGTCAGCTGGAGGCAAAGGGTGTGTGCCACTCTCAGAGCCATGTCCAAGGGCCGTAACAAAAGGTCCACCTCAGATTCCCTGTGACAAATAGAGGCTATCTTGGTTATCTACTAATTTCTATCTCTTTGTGAAAGATAAAGTAAAAATGACAAGCACTGGCCAACTATTAGTCATCAGCAGGAGAAGCACAGGTAGGGGTCTCACATGTCATCCTGACAGCCAGGCTGGGACACACCAGGGGATCAGTTCTCCTCCACATATACAGACATGCTCCTCAATCCCAACGAGCCACCACACTGCCTCTCCCCTTCATCTATCATGGTTTCAGAGCTGTGCTGCAAGCCCCAGCCTCCTTGGCCCCAGAGGCCAGGATCCCCAAGACATGCAGGCTGCTCTTAAGAGGGTGGTAAGAAACAGGTTTCAGAGAACTTTGTATGTCACACCATGTCTCAATAGATGAGTGAAGACAGGAATGGAGAAATTTGGAAAAACCACAGAGGAAGCCTCCTGGCTTCTCACAGACTATCCCAATCACTACACTGTGCCCTGAACTGTCTTTGTCCTCCTGTCCTTGCTCCCATCAGCAGGAGCTGCTGCTTTCCCTTTCCTCCTGGTTATCTGGGCACCCCGTCTGGTTTTGGAAGAAAGATGCTGCCCACTCCTGGTCACCAGGGATGGTGGGGACTGCAACACAGAAAGCCACCAATGCCCAAAGGCAGGGGGGAGTCTGGTTACTGGGGTTTATGGTCATAGTGGTAAAGGGTTGGTGGGGAAATCCAGCAGCTTCTGGAGCTGAGTGAAACCAGCTTTTAGGCTGCACTCCTGGGAAGCCTGAACGATGCTCACAGGTTGGATTAATGGGATGTGAACTAGATGGGAAGGAATGGGGAAGTGCTGCCTCACTGTCAAGGAGGGGGATTCAGCATGGCACCCTGGATGTGATGGGAGCACAAGGGCCAAACACACACGAGCCACCTTCCTTCAGGTGTAAATGAGTCAGAGCTACAGCGACAGTCCCAGCAGTGGCCAGTCCTACCCCTCAAGACAAGTCCTACCCCTTGCTCAAGACATCAACCTCAGATATCAACCTTGTTGAGTGTGATGGGAAACCTCACACCCCAGCACAGTGGATCATATGCAAAGGTGGTGGTTAGTGCTGGTTAACATACATTTTAACTGAAGATCATCAGCAACAACAGCAAAGCAATGACATTTCCTATGAACATTTTCTGCTTTTCAACAGAAACATAAAACTCTAAACTAAAATGTTTCAAAATATTTTTGAATAAAATTAATAACAATACAAACTTCAGGATTTTAAGTAGTATTTTTCATGTAATTTTCCAAACCAGTCTTAACTTTTCCACGTCCTTTAGTAAGAATATTTTGTTTCCAACTGTTTGCTTTTTCCCTGTCTTAACGGCAGAAAATGTGTTGAAAATGTTATTTCTTTGTAAACATTTTCATTTAGATCCAAAAGCAAACATTCCTCTTACCCAGCAGTGGTGATGTATGTAAAAGGAAATATATATATATATACGAGTAGTGAATTTCTAAACACAGGAAGATGAGTCTAAGCAGCCATTCCTTACATGTTATGAAAGCCATGAAGAGGTTTCTGTGAAGGTAGCTCACCTCTTACTCTGCCTTCATATCTACATTAGGAGAAAGGTATTTTTCCAGAGACATATGTGCATATAGGCTGAGCTACAAGACCAGGGAGACCTTGGAAACAGATTTATTTTCCCAAGAGGTAGTTTCAGCCATCCAAAACCTTCCTTGAAAATATTGCTGAATCCAACTCCAACTCATTAAACTGTTTCAGCAGTTTTTTTTCAACTCTACACACACAGACTCCAGCACACAACCTACAATGCAACAGGCTGGGTGAACTGGCTCCAGTGGGAGTTTTGACATTGATTTCAGTGAATTTTCCCCTAACACTAAGTATTAACTATTGATTTCTTAATTTAGGGACAAAGACCCTCTCTTATATACTTGATTTCATGCTAGACTAATTAGGAGAAAAAAGCAAAGACATGAAACAACTATCACAGATATTAGGACCCAATCCTATAAAGCCTTGCTCAAGCCAGCAATCTCATCAGCTTCAAATGAGAAGGCACAGGCCAGGAAGGGCAGCCTGAATTTTCACAGTTGCCACCTGGTAACTGAAGCCCACATGAGAAATAACAGCCTGTGCCAACGGAAGCCAAGCTCCTAGCGATGCAACAACACGTTAATGTTTCCTTGATATCTCTTTGTTAAAGCCAATACAGTACTTTCTTACCATTTTTGCAGACAGGACAACACTGTTCTGGTTCATAGACTGGGTTGACACACTCGGGAACTGCGCAGTCTGCTACAACACAGTGAACTTCATTGCTGGGCTCGCAGCGACACCATTCGCATGGCGAGGGCTAAGGAACAAATCTGAAATTAGCCCATTTCCTCCTGGAGCTCACAAGTTTGCAACATTTCTATCTTGCCATAAGATAAACACATCAGGGTTTCATACCTCTTGCCTGCATGCGTTCAGCATGGGCAATGCAAATTAACCTCTAGGACAACATAGCAACAGCTGAAATAGGCAACCAGAACATTAGGAAAACCAATGAGCATGATACCTTTATTCTCCCCAGAGAGGGTGTGGGGGGTTTTTTAGCTTTCATGAGACTTCAGGTCTCTTCATCAAAAAGATCCTGCTGATAGTCACACCCATCTGTTGTTACCTTACATGTTTGCCCAGGGAACAGAGCAGAATTTTGGGAAGATCACCAGTGGTGGTTCATCCCAGAGTGATTTTCCAGGTCTTATCTCATGCAGATCACTACTGCCAGCAAACCCCAAGCTGTCAGAAAAGTGTTGCTGGGGTGGCCTGCCCATCTGCCAGTCTCTTAAGGAGTTTTCATTCTTTCTTTTCAGAGCAGAGGAGAACCGAGTTGTTCTTGGAGGGGCAAAACCATTTCATTCTGTGTTTGTGCATCACCTGCCTTGGGGGTCTGTAAGCACTCCCATCCCTTAGATCTGGCCCTAGCCTCACAAAGGTTTGTGAGCACATGCCTCACAGACAATATGAAAGTAATTAAGAGCTTGAATAATTCTGCTGAAGTCAGGGAGTTCTGAATTAAAGCACCTAGCTAAATGCTTTCATTTCAGCTCCCATTAAGGCAAACAGGAGTCCCTCTCTACCTCAAAAGACTAGAATGTTGTCACAGTCACCCTTGAAAAGCTGTAGAAATCTGCTGAAAAATAGATCAAGTGTTTTAAAGTTCCCAATGTGTGTCCAGCTGTGATGAAATAATGACAACAGAGATAAGAAAGGAGAGTAAGAGGAGAATCTGAAAGGAAAATCACTTCCTTTCAGTACCTGTAGGTTCAACACGTAACTTCCAATTCCTCAGCAACAGTAGATCTATCATTAACACTTGAATGAGTAAATGTGGGTATTGGGAAAAAATCTGCTTTCTGTGGCAAACTGCAGCAATGGGAATACCTCCATATTAAAAAAGAGTGAGACGCAATGAAAGGAGAATTCATTCCCATGTATGACAGGCCCCAGGGATGTGTCACTCATTTCTCCATGACAGACACAACCTGTGAGCCCTAGTTTTGGCAGGTAAAAAGCTTTTCAGTTCACCTTTAAGAAGGTCCATATGTCTGGAGGCAAATAATTTATTCTCAGGAAATTCAGTTCTACCTTAAAATGCACTAATTAAAGCTTCCTTTGCTTTGTCTCAGCATCTGCAGTCTATAATTCCCATCACCTCTCATTTGCTCACAGCTTTGGCAATTCAGATAAAATCAGAACTCCTTGAGCAAGGCAAGAAGTCTGTGGAGGTGGAATTCCTCTCTCTAATTATCTTCCCTCATTCAATCCTGCTTTGATTTCTGTCTGAAGCTCCAGGAATCTAAATTCATTTGACTGACATTTCTTATTCAAGGCCATTTAATCAGAAGAAACAATACAGAAGAAAATAGACAGAACTATTTGCTGAGGGATCAATAAGAAAATTGCTGCTTTGTTTTCACTCATTTTAATTGCTAATTATACGGAGCAGTAGAACAAAATCTTGTGATTTGTGGAGGCTTTCCCTGACGTATCCTTCAGGATTTGTCTCCACCTTCACTACTACAGTGGCTGCAATGCTAAGAAATACATGATGCTCTTCCAGGGCTGCAGCCCAATCTACAGCTTAAAGACAATCAGTGCAAGCAGAAGATGCCCCTGAACAAGACTCTACACCTGAGTAAATGAGACATGACAGACACATCTTCTGCTTCTGCGTTGTGAGTGTAACCTGAAAATGACACCATAATGAACCATGATGTTGCCTGACACTGAAAGGAGCTTTCCAGGAGGAAAGAACCCCACACAAGTAAAGAAGAACAGCACATCTTGGCAGTACAAGGCAGCAAATTAAAAGGTTGCTTTGGCACAAACGACAAAGACTTTTTTTAGCCATTTCCTCTTTCCCATCATACCAAGTCCAACCTACTTGGCCATGCCTCTAGAATCTTCCTCTACCTGACTACTGTGTTCACTTGCCAGTGCCCCTTACAGTGGCTCTGACCCAGATGCTCACCCCCCATGGGTGACTCCAGCCTTTCTGTTCACTTAGGTTATGGCTAAGTTGGTACTTTCTCCCGTGGGATGTGCTGTGGGATTCACAACCCCCTGCCCTTTCAGGAAGGGCTTTGCCCCAGGCATACCAACTGAGCACCATTTTACTGTTTTCTGTGTGCTCTGCATCCCTGCTATTAATTTCCCTGGAGCTACTTATTTTTTCGGTGTGGAGTCACTATGGGACATTGGCCAAAGAAGTCCTCTATGTATTTACATAGGCATTAGGTAGATCAAGCAGCAAAATGACAAACTGGGACCCAGTGAAAGATGCCCCAAAGTTTTGTTTCCTGATTCTTCCATCTTTTGCTCTCGTTTTTCTCCAAATCACAGTGGTTGCTCTTTTGTGGTCAGTGGCATTCCCCCCCACATGCTCCTGCTTTGCTTGCTCTTTGTCCCTGTGCAAGTGCTGCTCAGGTTTCATGGGATTCACCAGGCAGTTCTGTCAATCCCTGCAAGTCCCAGAAATCTGTGTTTAAAGATTTATATCCCATGGAAAAGGGATGGTTTACACTGTCATAGCCACTAAAGTTCAAACACCTGCTAATATCAGTGACTGAAAGGAAACTCTAATCTCTACTGAAAAACATGGTTGAAAAAATACAGAGGGTTTCTGAAGGATGAAGGAGAGCAGACACAAATCAGAGGCTACGCCATTCCCACATGGAGAGGGCAAACACTTCACTGGTGTCCCTTAAACTGATATTCTGATAGAAGTGTTAAGATTAAAGGATCACAAAAGGCTTTGGCCAGAAGGTGATTTATTGACTCCACCTGTCTAAGGCAGAATAACCTTAGAAGACTTCCTAGGGAAGGATTTGTCAGGAAGGATTGCAAGACATGTTGGTGCAGAAACATCTATTTCACTGCTTTCCCAAAGGAAAGGATGGGCCAGCTGCATCACGGGTACATGTCCACACAACAACTGCATGGTACCCTACCATTCAGGGAAGGTTTTAAGAAATGGATCTATCATTAAAGCCAGAGGAATAAAGGTATTTCTGTAGATGGTAACAGCAGAGCATTTTGACTGGGGAAAACTGGTGCAAAGCACCTGAAATTTTTTTTGCTCTGCTCCAACAGAGTTGAGAGCACTAACCCTGATCAGAGCTAGTGAGGAAGTATGTCCTTTGATACGTTGTCAGTGCAGGGACCAAGCTGAGCGAAGTTGGTGGGATACAGATGTGGCCAACGTCTAAACACCATTCAAGTGCTTTTGAGAAGAGATGAAGTGGGACACAGAGCACAAAGGACCTTTTCAGTCTCAGCACTGACCCCGATTCACCTCTCCTTTGGACAGTTGCTTCAAAGAGACCAAAGGAGCACAAGGATGTGGACCCTGTTTTTAATCACACCTAAGATCATGGCCCAACTTCTGTTTCTCTTCTGGAATACTGATCTCAAGAGGACTGTGACCCCAGGTTTGTCTAGGAGGGCAGGTTCATTCCCTGCTTCTACCAGGGCATGGTGCCATCCCACACAGCAGGGAGGCCCCAGGAAGGAGCCAGCACTCATGCAGTTCTGTCCCTGGAAAACAATATAAGTCTCAGGTGCTGACAAATGGGAAACACCTGCAATCAGCAGAGGTTGTTAACAAAGAAAGAAGGAAGGAAAATTAAAAGAGAGAACAGAGAATATGCATGGCTAATAAAGATTTTATGTGCATGAGCACATAATGATAACTTTGATAGATGATATAAACAAAAAAATAAAAAAAAATCAGCAAAGAAACAAAAAAACCCCAAGATACACCCTGAGCAGGAGAATCCAAACAAGATGTGGATACCCTACCTCCTAATCTTCACTCTTGCTCCCATACACCCCTGTTCCCCACAATTTACATCCTCTTTTTGGAAGCAGATGCCACTACATGCAGGAATTAATGTTTGATGATGAATCCTCACAGGGACAACAGGCTCCCTTCTCCTATGGTGCTGAGCCTCACATGGGTCCTTCTTCAGTCAGCTACTAGGTTTCATAAAACCACAGAAATTTCATGCCTCTGAGAGGCTTCAGCAAGTCCTCAAGTCATCCAAAATGACTGGTAAACACACACAGAGATAGCATGATCACATGCTCTCTCAGGAAACTAGCCTAAAATACTAACTCTTCCCAAACTTAAGGAAGAGGTGGAGAAAATAAAATGTAAAATCGATTTAAAAACTCAGTGCCTAAATCCACTCTTTTACACTTTTCTACAGCTGAAGAGATCTGAATCCAGCATACATTTATTTTTTAGGCCAAGGCAGCTGGAACATCATACAAATAACCAGTACACAAAACTTGAAGTTTTTGAGCAAGATCTTGCAAGAAGCTTCAGCAAGACCTAAGCTTTACTTCACTTGAGACATCTCACTTAGTCACAAAAATTCTCTTGTCTTACTAAACCTCAATTGTATTTCACCCTTAGCTCATGCCTTGGCCACAACTACAGCACCCTCAGCCACACCTCGGTTGCCCCCAACATGTGAAAGACTTTTCTACAAGGTGTAGATTGCCTTGCAGGAGCTTATTGCTGAGGAAGTATTGTCCTTGAGTGAATGGAGGAAGCATACATATATATATATACACATACACATATATATGTATATCAGAAACATGGTACTGCAGCCCTCCTCTTCCCTGCCAATAAGGATTTCTCTGCACATGTGTCTATCAGTCACTCTCAGCTGCTTCTACACAAACACCTCTAGACAGGTACAAAGGCAGTGATTTGCCTAAGGCAAATGAAAAACTTTGAAGATGGCATCTGATTGATACTTTTCTTTGCCTGTTTTGTTCTGTCAGTCAGAAGCA